GTGTGAAGGACTGCACAAAGATACATTTTTGCCCATGTACATGTAACACATTATTATTCCTGTGGTGGCTACCAATAACCATCTCTGCATATGGAGAAAACTCCTAACACTTGGGCTTAAATTCCCCAGAGTAACTGTTCATGATCACAAATTTGGCTAAAGGATTTTTTTCATTACCCTCAAACATTTCCTTTCACCTCCAACCTCTAGGCAGAGCCATCGCTTTCCCTTTAGATCTGGGAACATAAAGCCATGGGGCCATCGGGGCTGGCTGTGCCTGACCCCGAGGGCCCTTCTGTCAATCACTGCCTCCCCATCCCTTGCTCTCTTTCACACCAGGCAGCTGTACCCATCGCTGTCAACCAGGTAACAACCAGCAAACAATAGGGGCCTGAATGCCTGGTCTAGACACTCTTTTAGCCACTTATTTGCTGCTCTTGGCAGCTGTTGAAGCATAAATAAGCAGTTTGTAATCAGAAAGCTGACATCATTGCAGCTCAGCTGAGAGGGGGAATTGTTGCTGTGCACTGAGCTCCTTTCCTCCCTTTCCACCCTTCCCAGCCCAGCCCCCTCCCTCCTTCTTTTTGTGACAACAGATTCTGGGGTGGGGATGCAGATTTCTGCCGGGCTAAGCTGGCTTTTCTTTTTATTTCTAGACTACAATGAAGTAGGTTGAAGCAAATGGCATGCATGAAGCAATGTACTTTGCAACTACCAATACTGAAAAGAAAAAATACCACAATAAAAACATGAAAGGCCTCACCTGCAAATAAATGGTGGAGTTCTGTCCTACACATTCAGAAAGCATGTCAAGCCTCACAAATATTTTGAATTTGAAGGGTAGTATTTCAATAGATTGACCATGAAGTGGACAGATGGAAAGAAAGTGTTTTCCTGTCCTGAGTGGTATTTTTACGCTTTAGTTTTCTTTTACACCCTCTGGAAGGGGAGAGGAGGTAAAAACAGTCTTACCAGAGCTGAGCAAACCCTTACTAACATACTCTATTTTGTGCCAGCATGCCTCTGTTTCTGCTTTCAAAATGCCCGGCTATGCATCTCCCATCTCTGCAAACATTTGTTGTTAAAGTACATTTCATACACTTTTAACACTTCTCTTTTTTTCTACTTTAGGGCTCAATTGTAAACAAGTTCACTAGGCAAATTTGACACAATATTTGAAACTCAAGCTGGGTTCCTCAGGCAGGATTGGTGGGGTGAGACACGTGGCAGCGCTGCTACTCCCTGACTGGGGGAAAACGACAGCATACCCACTGCAAATATTTGCACATGCAAATTTAGAATTCGTTTTCCACAAACACTCACACGTATGACTTTCAAATTAGCTTTCTTCAAGCATTCATGCTGCTAAGAAACTCTAGTTCAAATATTCATAGAAAGTGAACATAAAGGGGCCACAGGTTTAGGTGATTTCTTCTTTTCTTTAAAGAAAACAGACACCAAGTGAATATTCATGCCAAAGTCTTTGCAATGTTTGTCCAGTTCTGTTGTTTTCTGGCCATCCTCCTTTAACACTGAGAACCAATACATGTTGGTGTGGTACCAAAAGCCATGGCAAATTATGCTGCCTCAAATGTATAGTTAAAGTATAAACTTTATAATCTGCAGCACATTTTCTGTTGTTTATTAATGGTAAAGTACTGTCTATAACCTTTATGGTATATAATCCCAAATGTTCTCCCCACATTTCATTCGGTCTGCTCTGGTGATGACTGTGGCAATAATGGGAAAGAGGCAAAGGGATTTTGAGGGGCTTTCCCCCTGGTTGTTTATTTATTTTTCTGTGTGCACTTCATGCATGCCATGAGTAAGGAAGTTTAAGGGAGTTGACCTTTTTTATTCTTGTGGACCAGAGCGCACCTTCCATCAGTGATATGTCAAAGTCTGATCTGACTGCCTGTTGGTACATGGAGTTAGGGTGAATGCCAGTGTCTATGGGGTTCACTAACTATCTGAAATATCTTCAGGTAGCTCAGTCTGTCTCTGGTTTGAACAGGAAAGAAGGCCATTTCAACAAAAATATTGACTTTGTATCTCCCAAAGGCTTTCTAGTATTAGTTTGCTCTAAGTAGCTCATGATTTAGAGTACAAAGGCATTTCCAGAATGCATGTTTAACAAAATGACATAGCAGATAATTGAAATTTATTTGCAATTTTCAAACTACAATAAACACAATTCTCCCTTTCTTTCATTAATAATCGCACGGCTAATGCATAACAATCCCTCTGCAGCTTTTACAAGCAAACTTGAGCTGCTGTGTTGTAATAGCTGGAAAAGTTAATGTAGCTTGAACAAGGTTCCTAATTGTCCCTGTCTCTGTCATATTTGTCTACTTGAATGGTCCTAAATACCACAGCGATTAATTACTACAGAGCAGGTATTACAAGATGTTATCATCCTTCCCCAACTGTCTGGGTGAATGGAGAGAGGCAGTAGATTGTTGCAGTGTTTCATCTTTGCACTTCCTGTAAGGCACTTTAACCAGAAGATTTAATGTGTCAAAGTTAACTGCGTTCTCGCGCAGATATTCACATTCTAATTAAAGATTAAGAACGTAGTACATTACACTGTGATTTGTCATACATGGCTTGTTAAATAGGAAACCTACCGGGATTCCCTAACATTTTATAAACATTATTCAGGGCTTTTAATGTGGGCAAAGGAAAAGATTATTCAGCTGCTTTGCTGAGTAGGAGGCAGGTCATTTCTCCTCCACCTCCCCCATCCTACCCAGGCTCCCCCCTTTCCAAATAAATAAATAAGAAAACTCAGATGGTTTTCAAACTGAAATTCTGTTGAGATCTCTTTAAACTATTTATCTTCCCAGCATGCATGTGTGCACATGGAGATATAGATATATATTATATATGTCTTAATTATTTTTTGGCATTTTTCAACTTTTGCTGTCAGCTATGTAAACTGAGGTAGGAAGTCTTTGTTTGAATTACAGTGGCAAAGGAAGGAAGAAAGATGAAATAGTTTTTCAATGTGTAGAATGTGCATTCAGATGATTGTAGCAATGCTGAGCGGCTTACCACTTCCAGTATTAGTAGCAGAGGACTGGTTCACATTCTTTGATTGCCTGAGGAATAAATTAATGAGGTTACTAGAGACATTGAACATTTGCATATTCACGGATGCTTATTAGGTATAAAGTGAATGCCAGGTGCATTGAATTTTGGGAATACTAGCTTTGTATTTGGTCTTCTGTTTTTAAAGCAATCCAATCTTTCTTTTTTGCTAAAGTGGGAAGTTCTGCAAGAAAAAAAAAGAAAGAAAAAGCAGCATTTATAAAAATAATAACACCCCAAAAAAATCAAATTAATTCAATACAGTTGAAGCTTCACTATAAGATATGCATCAGTATAAACATGATACAGCATGAGGCTAGGGACTATCTGAATATCTTGTTTGGAACAGTTAGGATGACTACAAATATAAAAACAGTTGTTCCAAGACATCAGGAAAACAAATGTTATATTTTTCACAGTGGTCTTTATGGATTTCTAGCTTTAAATAGCAATAGAAGAGCTCATTATGAAGTTACCTTCCATAATGTCTAACACTTAATTTTAAAACACCAATATTCTCATGTATTTTGTTAAGGCAAGTCTCAAACTCAGCCTGCAAAGCACAGGAGATAGAATTACAAAATTTGCTTGACTGTTTCTCCTAGGAGTATCTGCACATGGCTGCATTGTTATCAGTGACTTCCGTCATTGCTGTGTGAAAGCACATTTTGTGAATGATTTGCACTGTATCTCCTTATTGCTGCAAGTTTTTATCTATATTTTTTATTTGAGATCTTGCATTTTTGCATTCTGAAAGATTTTGTGGTGTTGGCTTTCTGGGGGTTTTTTCTTTCCCATTCTTTGGCTGTCCCTATGCTATAGACATATAGAGCATGGTATTAGCACTGCTCGTTTCAGCACAGAAATATCTGTCAGTTGAAAATGTGTATCGTTTGTGTTGCTTTTTGCTTGTCTTTTACAGTTTAAGAACCAAGTGTGCACATGTGCACAAACTACAGGCTTACATGCCTGTATATTTATCTGCACACAGATAAATATAAACACATGTGCCCACACAGATGTGCACTTACAAAACTATTGGTATCACCTAGTTCCAAGTAGCTGGTGTAGCAAAATCAAGCCGTGATAAGTGTTTTCTATGGATAATAATATGTATCTACAAACAGGCTCCCTTCTGCCCCCTTGTTTCACAGAATACTGTGCTCAACTTCCCTTTCCTGGATGTTGCACTGTGTTGATCACTACCCTGCCTCTGCAAATCCTATTTGAAAATCTCATTTGCAGCATAACTGACAACAAAGGCATTACATGGTATATGCCCTGCATATTCAGCAGACTATTCCTTGCCTTTGTAAGTTATTTCTAACTTCTAATGAAAATACTGTCTGATCAGTTGATGATATTTTTTATTTATTAATAGTCTGTAAAATTAACTGTGTCTAATCAAAGAATGTATCCTTTCTTAAAAGTGCAAGGTGGAATGCATTAGATCAGTGGCACAAAAAACAGATATTTTTTACTGCAATAGGCCTTTCATTGGGTACTCTAGGAAACAGGACTTAAACAAAACACTAAATTGAAGACAATTTTGAGGCGCAATCACACCCAGCCAGTGCAAGACACAGAAATTCTCTTTAGATATACATTTTCTCTGCATTTATTTCCAAACAGTAATTCTGCTCCGTGTTTAAAAAAATAATAAGAAAAATTATTTGATATTTCAGTCTCTCAGGGCAGCTTCTGAATAATTACATGCAAAATGATCTAATATATATTTATTGAAAATAGCATTGCAGAGCACAAATGTGCGTTTTTTTCAGGAAGGTCATTTTTTAAAACATCCATTGTAGCTGCTTCACTAACGTCCAGGGGTTTTTGCCATCCACACGGCACAGATTTTTTTGATTATGTAGATTTTTTTTTCCCCCTCTATTGCAGTTTCATATGCAAAGCATGCATCAGCCACATCCATGCTATCTCCTAAAGCAGTCATTCTGAAACCCAATCTGGGGATAGTGCAGACTAAATAAAATTTCATTTTGATTTGGCCTCCTGCTGAGAATGGGACTGCTTTGTTTCAGCCGACAGAACCAGAAGCCAGAAAGGTATGTCCTGTTTTGCATGGCTGATAGTGTGACTTGAGGATCACAATCAGGCCGTTCATGCTCTCAGGGCTCGGCATCTCATCCACATCCTGTACCATCTTTCTCTTTTCCTTGCCATTTGCTTTCCTTCTGTGCCGCCTGCCGTCTACCTGCAGGGCAAAGCTATGGCAGACCCTCACACTATTGTTTACTTTGGTGTATGTTTAATAGCTGCATGGCTGTTTCAGGGTAGGGTTTCTCTATTTTTTTCCCCTTCCCCCCCTGCCCCTTCCCCCTTCGCCTTTGTTTTTTCCCTTCCCTGTCCACATTCACTTTCCTTAATTTCTAGGTGTTGAATACACAAATACTGACTTAATGGAAAATTATGTGGGTATCGCTTGCAATGCTTCAGAGATTTTGCTAGGAGATCTGTAATGCAGAATTTTCTTGTGAATCTGAGGAAACATTAAACAGCTTTGAAGGACTTCAGTTTTCATAGCCCTTTAGAGCTGTTTAGGCAGAAAAGCAGTCACATGTGAAAAAAAATAAATAAATAAATAAACACACTTTTAGGAAGGGGTCTAGCTGCTTTGACATCTTCACATGCTTTATAGTTACAGCTGCAGTGTTTGACATGGGGAATATCAGTAAATATTTCTTTCTCTAAATATTAATATTGATCTTAAAGCCAGTTTGCATTACAGGAGAGGGTGTACAGCATTCTCCTTGCTGCTGCTGTCCCATCTTTTGGAGGAGGTGTTGACAGTGGGGAATGACCTCACTTTTAGCCTCTGGAGCATCTTTTGTACAGGGCAGCAGGACCTCTGAAAGAGTCCTTATGATGCAAACTTACTCCTTAAAAGTGTATTTATCTGATAAAGCTGTGATATCCCTTGTCTGCGAATATTCTTTTAGGGAAAAAGAGCTTTTATATGAAATAAAGTTAGCATAAAATTTATCTCAGACAAAGAGCAAATTTTAATTTTGTTTGATGCGTGTTTTAATATGGACAATGTCCTGTTTTCCCAGGAAGGTAGACTACAATTGTAACTCCAAAGAAAAATTCAATTCTTAAAACTAAACAAAACACACAAATGAAAGTAGCAAATTTTATAGAGCTCTGATGTCATATGGAAATGTATATTTTCATGGTGATTTATAAACACAAAATTATAATCATTGTGTGCAGCATGCCTTTGTGGTAGGTGATATTAATAACAGCAGGTTATTCAGCAAAGTCTGATGGAATGTAGGTGGTCAATTATAACACTCTGCTCAATTTAGCAAGTTCTGTTCCCAGCTTTTATATATTACTTCAACTCCACAACTTTCATCAGTTTCTGACTCTCTGAGATGGCCAGGGGTGAAGGTCCTTGGCATAACTATGTAGATCTTTGCATAGCAGAGTTCTGTGACCTGAAAATTCACTTTCTCTTCATCTTCCTTAATTTAAAAAAAAAAAAAGTTGTTTGGGGAGCGAAGGCTCATCCAACCAAAGTTTGGAGAAAAAGAGAGGTAAAAATAAGATGGCTCATTGCTCTCCCTATAAAGGAAGGTAGGCCAAATTTTAGTTTCACCTTGGTAAACTCCAGCAGGATTTCCTGCTCGTGGTAGGATCTAGTCTTGCATTTCTGTTATTCAAAGATATTTACAAAGTAAAATGTAGTTTAAGAACACTTTAAAGAAGCTATCTGTAGTTATGTCACATTTTCTTTAAGAAATTTGAGGCAGTAAGAAAATTATAAAGAGGTTAAATTTATAAGAAACGAGAACTGCAGCTTTTTAAAATGATACAGTGGGGAAAATTATCAGTTCTATGGGGTTTTGCTCAGTATCTCTAATTCTCCTGCTTCACCCCTTACGTGTCATTGAGATGTTGTCCAAGTTCCCAACTCTGCATTTTAAACAGAGTTTATAAAATTGAGTTCCAATTTTACATTTACCATCATTTCACTTTAACAATTAAACACTTGTTTTAAGAGAAACAAAACTGAGTATTTTGTGACAGTATATTTTGTTTATATCTGAACTCAGTCTTGGCAAGTTTTTTGTTGCATAAAGAGTATTTTGTATTAAGTGGATAGTTGCATTGAAAAAAATAGATTAAATAAATGGGACACATATATCGCTTGGAAATACACCATATTTTTAATATGAAATACTCAAGGAAATTAACAGAAGTATTGTGCCTTTATTTACAAGGATGAACTATCTTTTAACAGAATAATGCTCATTATGGTAAAGTAAAATAATCTTGGCTCCAGAATGTGCTAACTGCTCTGGATACTTTTTTATTAATTACACAACTCTTGTATGTAACCAGGAATTACTGCAGGCTTTATTCTGGTGCTCTTAGGAGATCAGAGTTCCTTTTTTAGATAGGTTTATTAGAGCTGTATCTTAGAGTCATATTCTGGATAAGTAAAAGAAGTGAGCGAGTCTTGGAAGTCAGTTTTGCATTTGTCACTTCCACAGAAAGAAAACTATAAAAATATTAGCCCAAAGTCCAGAAACAAAGACTTCATTCTTTGATTGACTTATAAGGCTTTCCTCAGTGGACTCCTCAGTGTTCTTCCTTATTTATATTTGTGTATTTAAGAAATTAATCAGATCCAAAATCCCAACTCAGATACCTCCAGCACACTGTAACTGAAAACAAAAACAAAAAAAAAAAAAGGAAAACCAAAACCAAAACAAAAAAACAAACCAACCAACCAAAAATGTACAAAAAAAACCCCCAAGATACTTTGGCACGTAGCATATTTACTCATCTGTTTATGTTTTAATGCAAAGGATTTAATAATTCTCTATTCTTTCACTTTTTCCTCTCACTTTTTTTACTTTACCTGAATGAGGTGGTGTGATTGAGATAAGTCATATCCATGCCCAGAATCCTATGGAGAAAACAGATCATCTCAAATGTAGAATATATAGCAAATTGGAAACTAGATAAACACACTCAGGAGACAAGTATGTATGCATGTAAATTAGTCACATGATGCTACTATATATATACGTATATATACGTATACTATATATACGTATGCATGTATAAGTGTGTATGTACAGATCCAGAGAGAGAGAGAGAGATGGAGGACACAGACACCAGGGTCCCTGTGGCCCACCAACATCACAAGAGAAGATGCTGCTACTGTGACCATATAGAAGACAAAAACCTGCATGATCAGTGCATTTCCTGATCTGTAGCTATCTGAATTTCTCAGCAGCTACACAGCTGATTTTCTCCTGGAACAAATTCATGTTCGTCTGAAGTTAAAATCTGCTTAAAAACTTGCTGAGTTCAGAAGGATCCCAAACGCGAAGATTTGACTGCAGGATTAGGGTCTAAAGATTTCACAGTATCCCTTTGGGCAAGCCAGGACAAACTAGCTAACAAACCTATGGAAAAAGGTGTCAGAAATCTGTCATAACACTGGACTTGGAACATACCATCAGAATTAGTGGACAACTCATTCTCATTCAGCTCAAACTTCTCATGCTGATGTTCTTGCTTTATACACCTGATTTGACCAACACCAATAAAAAAGGTCTAAAAAACTGGTAGAAGATACTATAAAATTAAGTATCAAAGGGCAATTGACTAGCAGCAGATACTATAAAATTATATATCAAAGGAAAGCAGTAACATCCTGTCAGCAAGTATGAGCATAGGAACCCATTGTGTTCACAGCCCTAAAGGGGTGAGGAGTAGAATTACTTTGGTTTGGGATATTTTTACCCAATCTCTTTAGAAATAAAAAAGTAAAAAATCAAAGTTAGAATTTTATTTAAGAGAAAAGTTAATCGTAGGCTTACTGTTCAAGTTCACTGAAGCAACAGTATGTTATAAAAATCAATGCCATCACTTAACCCTTCATTTGATAATGTTTTAGGATTTCAGAAAGTTGCCTTTCTTGTTCACAAAAAAAAACAAAGCAGGGACTTTCTTAGCTTCAAGGAGATATTCTCTGCTATGAGAAGGTATTCTTCCTGTAATTATTGTTTTAAATAAAAATTTAATAGAACCATCTAAGTAGTTGATCAAATGTCTGAATGTAATCAGAAAATGAGCTTTGGACCAAAGCTAAAAGAGCAGAGACAACAAGCTAGCATTAACTTTGTTTAGGAGTAGAGGTAAAACCAAAGAGCTCAGCCCAGCAGCTACTAGGAAATCTAATACTTCCTGAGTAGGGAAAGAAGGCACTTCGGAAACTGTAGGGAAAAAAATGAACAGAAAATCATATTATTTGTATCACAGAATATTCTGAGTTAGAAGGCAGCCACAAGGATCATGAAGTACAACTCTTAAATGAATGGCCCATAACAGGGATTGAACCCACAAGGTTGGCATTATTAGCATCAGGCTCTAATCAACTGAGCTAATCTCAGGGTCTCTCTAATCATCCAGTGCGATTTCTGCCATAGGGTTGACTTTATCAGAAAAAAACTACACCCAGGAAAACTGCTTCTGAGAAATACAGTTTGACAGATCCTCAAAAAAACAGAAGAAGTTTGAAGTACTGGTAATGCACATCTTTAAAGATTTTCTAAAAAAAAAAAAGCATGTTGGCTTCCCACATAACAGGGAATGTAACTGTGTCAAGATCTTATTGATTATATGAAAAAACCCAGACAATGTGTATTAGTTAACTGTTTATCAGTCTTTTCTTATCAAAGGTTGGAAAAGTATTTTTGTCTTTGAAATAAGGGGTAGAGAGAAGAAATTACTAGTGAATGTCTAATGAGTCTTATATAACACAGAAATGGACTACAGATTAATAAAAGCATCCTCTCTCTCATTAAGTGTTCTTTACCCTATGGGGGTGGAGAAGGTTAGGTTATAGCAGCATTATGTCCTCACAATAAAAATACATTTAATGTCCTAGCGTCTACTGCAATTGGTTATTCATTGCATACAATTTTCTTTATATTTGAAACCCTTTTCCTCTACCAGCTGTCTGACAAAGGCAAGAATGAAACATTCTGAAAATAAACTTTTGGAATAATTTACATTCAATAGG